CCAAGACGTTATCGAAAAAAATGGACCCTTGCATTTTTGGATTCAGCATACCCAAAATATCCGGAAAATGCAATAAAATTGCTTTGGGCAAGCCTATCTCGCGAAATGACACTAGGGACCACACTAAATCGGCTATGTTTCCGTTTTCCATTCCAATACTGTATCTGCAATCTACAAAATAAAAATGACTATATTCATCATCACTTTATATGGTGCGTATCAAATGTTAAGTATACAGGTACTGCACCTGAGTAAAATCTAGGCCTCCACATTTAGAGGCGTGCCCATGAAAATACAATTTCCAGTTAAAAAAAATTGATAAAGGTGTTGGAAATCATATTAATGCAAAGATCATTCTATTTTGTGAGCAAGGGATCACAGGATAAAGTAGGTTTATGTATGTAATTTTTTAAAAAGCACAAAAATAAATAAAATATATGTACATAAATTCATATTTTATTTTATTTTATTTTATTCGGCATCAATATACATATAAATACATAAAATTCAAGGAACAGTAAAAAAATTCATAAACCAAAAGTTATACAGAAAATATTAAAATTCTATACAGTTCATGTTGTCAACAAGATAAAAAAAAGATTGCAATTCCCGGAACGGGTCATTTAGACTTATTTCCAATGGGATCCGATTAAAGAAAAACAAACAAAATAGAACAGAAATAACAATATAAATTAGACAACTCCAAACTTAGTAAAAAACGCGGCAGTGATTTGTTGTATTACGGTACAGTAGTGTGTGTGTTCGATATCTATTAGCCTTTGATCTTTAAGTCCTAAACTGTACATAAACGGAAGTTGGTAGAGATGGGGTTGCCTGTTACTAAACCAATACTCTTTAACCATGGACCTATTAATATGTCCATGCTTTAACAATGAAGGTAGTTTTTCAGAGCTAATATAAATTCAAAAATCTTCCTTAACACGAACTGCTGATAATTCTTCATGCATTACATTGAAAAATGCTGATTTTAAAATGAAGTTTATGATGAGACATACACAGAAACTTCTGCAAAGCTGGTATCATCATCATATTATTATTTTACAATTAAACTAAATATTTAATTAGTGTCCAATTACAGACCATGTTACCAATTTAATGCACAGATCAAACATGTACACCCTTAGGTGTGAAATACCTTTGGCCCCAATACAATAGTACTGCATTATTTGTAGCAGCTTGTTGCTAATAATAACATGAAGTTATTCGCTGCGTGATATAAGCAGTTGTTAATTAACAGCTAGTAAAGGTTCTGACAAACTTTTTTCTGAGTTTATGTATAGGTTACTGATACTAGGCGATGCAGAATAGACTTATTGAATTGATTGTTTAGGATCTAAATATGGGTATTCTACGAATGTGATCCAACAAAACTTCTTGGGAAACTTACCAATTCTTTTAAAAATTTTGCAGAAAATACTTTTTTTCGAAGAGGTAAGATGACCCAGAAAGATGGATCCTACAACTTTCCTAATTCCACTCATGCTAGTTTTGCGATCGTACGAAACAAAACAACACACAACTTTCTACCTTAAAGACGTGGTAAAATGTAGTGAAGACGTTTTTAAATAATTAGGCCTAAAAAGGGTTTTAAAAATCCCAATAGAGCACATACTGAAACAATTCAGATTTTGCTTACCTGGTGGAACTTGTGCTTGGATTGCCAATAGGAAGACATCACAAAATACTACCAGTAGGTAAGGCTTAATCGTTAACATATTCATAAGCAGAGTAATTGGTAAGCAGTCTTACTGGTACAAAAGTAATTTCAGGTTAATTGGTTTCAACTGATTTAATGCACTGTATAACACTGGAAAATATTGGAAGCAGAACAGGGATGCTTTTTCGTACAGGAAATTGGGTATCCGCAACACCACAACATGGACCAGTAGATGACGATATGCAAAATAAAGTCACAGAAGTATTCCTCGTAGAGGGCTAATATACATATTCATACACAAAACTATGGTGAAAATGGCAAAGTCGATGGTTGACCTATCCATGGAGAAAAGTAATAATAATATTGGTAGAATGTTGCAATACACGGAAATATCAGTTAAGATAATGGATATACAGTATTGTACATTTGAAGTAAAACATATTTAAACGCCTTGGTAAATGTTCCTCAATAAACTCTTGTATTTTTTACCCATTAGATTTGAAAAGGAGTGAAAGAAACAGATTTAAGACTTGAACATTATATGCAATTAATAATTGTAATAATTGTATTAATTAGACTAGGTGACGGTTGTTGACGCTTATTAGTGTGAACCGATTCTTAACATTCACATATTATATAGTCCTATTATAATATATCAACAAATTCGGTTGGATGCATAATTCAAATTTCATAATTTTATTTTTTTTCCACACGAGATGTAGCTAACAAAGTGAAATCTTCCCTGTACATGTGTCAGCTACCATAGCATTCAATGTTTAACAAGATGCAAAAACATTGTAGAAAAGCATAATAACAATAACAACAATAACATCAGATTAAAAATAGTGTAGGCCCTATAAATAGAAGTAATCCAGTAAAAATAATAATAATGATGATAATAATAATAATAATATGCATAATAATAATCACAATAATAATAATAATCACAATAATAATAATAACAATAATAATAATAATAATAATAATAATAATAATAATAATAATAATAATAATAATAATAATAATAATAATAATAATAATAATAATTTAGTGATCATAATAAAAACAACAATAATAATAATAATAATGGTGGAAAGCACAAATGATTGATTTCTAAATGTCATCAAGAGATTTTTTCGGAATGTGGAGATAAATGGCGATTGTCTGCAAACTAAAATGAGGTTGTTCCATAGAAAATGGAGTATTGTGAAAAAAATTTGCGTGCAGGAGATAGGCTTATGTGAAGTGTGGGGTGTGGTTTGCGTGTGGCATGCGGTGGTAGGCCTATTCAGTGTATGCGGTTGCGTGCGGTTGTATTCGGTGGCATGCGTCTTTTAGTGAGACGCCCAGGGCTAAGAGAGAGCCATACACAAAATTAGGCCTACAAACTTCTGGTCCATGGTCATCGTAATCAAAAGAACGTCTTTCACTTTACCACCCAGCACTTCAATTTGTCTAATAGTTTAAATATTCTATTCCGAAAATGCAACGAAATGAATGCTGAATGTGTATCTCTAAATCAACAACGGATCTTCTCCAGGGGCGGATCCAGAGATATTCAAAAGGGTGGGGGCGAAATTTGGGTCGATCGAGACAACACTGAAATAGGAGGTCCGGGGGCATGCCCCCCACGAAATTTTTGTGTTTATAATAATTTTTGTGAAAATAACATTTGAGGCTGGGCTATCGTTTTTCTTTTTTTTTCTTTTTTTTACCTCTCAAAAGGGGCCCCGGGGCCGGGCCGCCCCCTCCCCTAAATCCTCCCCTGTTCTCCGTTGCACAAGTGACAATATATACGGTTGTTTCAGGTTTCACTCAGTCAGCGCTGGATGGCGAGTCGCGTGGTAGACCAATCCCAGGCGATTGGCATAAAATGGCTCTCAAAACTTATTTTTAATCTGAATGGAAATGTAAATAAAATCAACCTTAATCTCATTAATCTGTGAATTATTCAAAATGTATACAATGCTAACTTCATTGTATACGGTTCAGTACTATAATATACACCATTTTCGATATGCATAAGACAAGGTAAATTCTACCCATTAAAAGCTAATTGCTTTCAGTGTAGCGTGTTATTATACAAATTAGGTCACGGAACTCTGGTGGAAAATGGTAGAGAAATTCAAGTATCGCCTGCACCATTGTGGTGGTGATTTGGGCAGTACAGCATTAGTTTACAACATTAACAAACATTAAATTGTAGAGGCCTATAGATGCTTATAGGCGACATATGGCAAGCTGACACTGTGGTAGTAAGTAGAATTGTATTACCCTAGACCAGCATCAACAAACCCTTCGTCGTAAAATGTGTAGACTGTATTGATATCTTGTAGACAATAATGATACAGCAGGCTGTACTTTATTGGCAGCGTGACCACTCACAATTTTTGATATACCCAATCTGGGTCGAAATTACCCAAGATTCAGCAAAAATTGCCCAAAATTACCCAAGATTCCTGAAAATGCATTAAAATTTGAAAACAATGTGTTTTTCGCATGTATAGTTTAACTTTAATTCAATTTATAAACCATTTTTTATTGTAATTGTTTGTGTTAATTATTAAAATTAATATTCATGAGGTGATAATACGGATAGAAAAATACGCCCTCAGTCGGCCAGTGTTATCAGTAGATCAGTGATATATTATGTAATGCATTAATTGTAGGGTAAGATCAATGGCAACGCAAATCACAAATAAACAATTTTGAACCCATGTTTATAGCAATTAACAGTCAATTAACAATGTTATGTGCACTTTGTTGAGTTTTGCTTACTTGAATGGACTGAAATATACTTTGTTACTTCTTAATTCTTCCTCTATGACAACAATATTTAATTGTCTTAGTAAAAATGAAATACCCAAGGATTTGAACGGAATACCCAAGAACCCAAGACCAAGTCAAAATACCCAAGATCTTGGGTAAATACCCAAGCAGTGGTCACACTGTTTATTGGTATCTGATTATCATCTCTCTAAGGCTCATATGTCCTTAGTCTTTATGTAGCCTATAGAGGGCTCACTCTTAATAAGGCATACTTCATTGCATAGACCACTTTGAGGAATTGGCCTAGTCTAACCTAGAGCTCCCAACCCAATCCAAGTCCCCAGGATTGGCCTGGAGTCTACGTAATTTTGGGTCATCTCCCACATTTTCTCCCCAAATTTACGATTCTCCTGGATTTCCTCGGGATTTTAAATTTTTTTCACTACTATAAAGCGGTTTTTCTACACTATCAAATTTCATTAAAAAAAAGTCGCATAAAATGTGATGGAACATAATCATATAATGTTGAACACGTTCAGCTTCAATTTTAATACAATTTGATAATATGTAATATGACGTAATCGTACCCATATATGGGCACACCACATTGTTTGTCACATAAAATTTGATAGTGTAGACAACGCTTACGGTTAAGCTAAATTTCCCATTCTTATGCAGACAATTCTGGACGGGAATATACTAACGGTGATCCGAACCGGCACAATGTTGAAATATGTGTTTTGATTTTCGTGGGTTGTTCTTGGTGTTTCTAAAAACCATTAACAGCATTCAGCAAATCTAGGCTACATTCGTTCCACGAGATTATTGTAAAAACGGCGACAAGTTTGTACATGAAACTGAAAGGTCCACTGATTAATCTCAGATAAGAAAGTATAATACATACTCCAAGTATTGAAATACACGCCATCGTGTTGGGATTCAATATTTCGACATTAATTATGTCATCATCAGGAAGTTTGTACATGCGTATACTACTTTTACACATGTTTTAGCTAGTATACGCGTCACAAACCTCTGTCCGAATATTTTATTTCCACAACTTGAGACCCCTGCAGTAAGTAAAAGCTCTTCGTATTTTTAGTGTAAATGTGAATTAAAATCAAACTAAATTTGTTTTGATGAATCTATTATTTATTCAGGTAATTCTTTAAAGTGTTTTATATGAGACAATTAAGTTTAAGAGCAATATTATTTATTCATAATGACAAATAGTGTTGATTTCTCTAATATTTTATTCATATTGAAAAGTAATATTAATTTCTATAGAATGTTTTCGGCTTTTGTTTTGTTACTATTTAAAAGAAAAGACTCGTGATTGGGATGACGTCATTGAGACGCGATTAATTAAGTGCATTCATTTTTTTGCAAACCAAGAATTCATAAAACGGTGATTACATTGAAATTACGCACATTTATTATATAACAAATCTTGATATATAGTAATTATTACTTAAGTACATTCATTTTTTATAACTCATTCCAATAATGGAACATTTATTAAAGCGTGACTAAGCCTTCAGGTTTTCCATCAACAAATTCGTACAGTGGAATTTCACTGGGTTCATATAAAATTTTTAATTATATTCTGCAGTAAATGAATTTTTGTCGGGGCGAATGTCATCACTCCACAAGAGACTAGGCTATATAACCTACACCAGAGGGACCTACCTACACTAGCTATTCTCGTGTCTTCTGCATCTTGATGACTTAATGAACACCATAATCAAACCGGAATACAAAGACATTTTAGGGAGTCTTTCAAAGCCCATAAATCAGTAACTGTGTAGCTTACACTTACCTCGGGTTAAAAAAAATCAAATGCCCTCAGAAGTCCTAATAAATAGAGTCCTAAAAAGCTTAAACTAATCTTAAACCACGTTAATAATCACTAAATTATTTTTAATCCATCGAACCTACAGCAAGAAATACTTAATCATGAATACATGGGAAGTTTCGTCGGACAGATCTCCTTTCTCTCTGAATTTTTTAACATTTTATTTATTTATTTAATTAATATTATTATTATTATTGTTATTAATATTATCATTATTATCACTGTTATTATTATTATCACTATTATTATTATTTTCATCATTATTACCATTATTAACATCATTATTATCATGGCTGGTCAGGCCGAGACGTGAACGGCAGCGACGCTGGCATACAGAGCAGACAAAGTCATCATTTAGAATTGGCTGGCGTTGAGCAGCATAAACGGGATAAGCGTGTCTCTTGGAGTTGTTTGCTTGCAGTCGTTTAATACTAATAAATCAAAAATATAATCTTAACCTGTTCTCTCGTTCATGTCATAGAATGACAGCATAACGATTTAATATTTTTCACGGGTTTGTTAACCTCAGTTTAACAATGAGTGTGTTTTAAACCACAGGTACGTTTAAACTAAAGCCGGTCTCAGACGTTGCGATTTTGCTTACTACAAGCTGTCTCAGTCTAAAATTGTCTATTGCGCGGGAGCTGGTGAAGGTATGAAAGGTGTATACAGCACGACAGAAATACCAGTACTCATAATGGAAACGTATAATATATTGCGGTTTTTAACATGTTCAAAAAAGTGTAGTCGCAAGTGTCGTAGCCAAATCGCAACGAGTGGGACCGGCTTAAATCCGGGCACATACTGTGTGATTTTGACGGCAGTCGTACGGCCGTCGGCCGCAGTAATCCATCTTAGCATTCTGAGGAGGGCGCTTTACGTCTGCTGATTGTCGGTAGAAGTCGGAGCGGATCGTCAATAAAAAAAAACGATCTGTTGCGTACACGTTGTCAAATTTTGTTCTTAATTGAATCGCGTCGACACCGACCGTCGGTGCATTGTGTGCCCGGCGCTAAAAGATTCTATCACAACAAAACTCTTAGGCTTAACATATACATATAATATGTAATATTCTCACTATGCTTCACAACGGTAAAGCTGAGCGCACACTGGTTCGGCCGCTGAAGAACAGCACCGACAGTGCTCACCTCATCGTGTTGCGTTCTCAATTAAATCGTGTCCGATGCATGACGAAATTTAAAATGCTTCATGTACACTAGGGAATCCCAATGGCTCTTATAATCACACAACAAACTAATAAATAGCTACAGTATGCTCGTCTAGAGCCTGTCTTTTGTAACTAGACCTACGGGGTACGACTACGGTCATGGATGCTCGATACATTTCCTCCAGAGTAAATTCTATTAAATATGAAGATATATTTTTATGCTTGATTCAATTACAATATTTTTTTTATAAGCACTAAATTTATTAACAACAAATATGTTCTTCAGAAATGTACAGGCAAAATGAGTAATAAATTCTTCTAATACTCTTGTTTACAGGCCTCCAAGCACTGATCTGTCACTTTCGTCGTTGTTTTGGAATTCATAATTGCAAAAAGGCGTATCATCTTTATCGTGGTTGATATCAGGTACACCAACATCCGGGTTTTTATTGGTGAATGCACGAGGTATACGGTTTCTGTGAAGACAATACAATGAGAGATTTCGTTAAACACATCTTAAACAGAAATAACTTTCTTTTTATCAGTCTTTAACTGAGCAGCCTAACTTGAAATTAACTCTTAGTATTAGTTTACACTATACGTAGCTTAGGAAAGCTTAGCTACCAGGCATATAGCAGCATTGCTTGCGTCAACGCATCAGCGTCCTCCAGTGTGAACGCAAGCTCGTCGTAGCTCGTCACTTGCGCTAAGGTGATCTCGTATGAATTGCTCTAAATGTAAACCAAGCCTTACCGTTCGTTTTTCTTCCTGATTAAAACGATGGCAGCCACAATCAAGATAAAGAGAATAAGAATAACGATAAATACTGTTAGTCCAACAATCACCGCTGAATTCGTATTTGAATCTATTTAAAAGACGAAAATAGAGTGGTGATTAATAATAATAATATGATGATGATTATGATTATGAATATGATTATGCTTATGATGCTGATGATGATGACGATGGTGACGATGATAATGATGATGATGATGATGATGGTGATAATAATAATGACGATGATCGCGATGATGATGATGATGTTATAATGATGTCGATGATAGTGATGCTGCTGTTGATGATGATGATAATGATGATGATAATGAAGATGATAGTCAGGATGAAGGTGCATGATCATCATCATTATGTAAATACAAAATAGAATTTTCATCTAAAAATCTACTGACTATGCATACGTGTCTGTTTTAAAATAACCATGATTACGTAGTCATATTTATACCTACCTTCGTTTTTTCCTGTGCGTGCCGCGGTATCCCCTCTATTTATTTCTGGATTTTTCGTAGCTTTTGGACTTGTCTTCACTTTAGGTGTAGTACTAGGCTCATCCTTTTTAATTGCTTTAGGACGGGAAAAAATCACAAGTTATAATATATTTTGATAGATGAATATAAAGCCAAAACAAGAGCTTTCAGCTCAAAAGGCTGTCTTTGGCTTTTAGTGCAATTCCCTGGAGATTTAAAACTATTTCCACACAACAAGTATTTAGCCTTTCACAGTATACTGGGTTAACAGAACATTTATTATTATTTATTATTACTATTATTATTATTATTATTATTATTATTATTATTATTATTATTATTACTATTATTATTTATTACTTATTATTTATTATTATTATTAGTATTATTATTATCATTATTATTATTATTATTATTATTTATTATTATTATTATTATTATTATTATTATTATTATTATTATTTATTTATTTATTTTTTTTTTGCAATTCCATGGAGATTTAAAACTATTTCCACACAACAAGTATTTAGCCTTTCACAGTATACTGGGTTAACAGAAAATTTATTATTATTTATTATTACTATTATTACTATTATTATTATTATTATTATTATTATTATTATTATTATTATTATTATTATTATTATTACTATTATTATTATTATTATTATTATTATTTATTACTTATTATTTATTATTATTATTAGTATTATTACTATTATTATTATTATTTATTACTTATTATTTATTATTATTATTATTATTATTATTTATTATTATTATTATTATTATTATTATTTATTTATTTTTTTCTGTAGTGGTAGATATAATTGTACTTACGTTGACATGATGGCGGCTGACCTTCCCATCGACCACCTAAGCTGCAAATCATGTAGCCTCTCATTCTGGAGACATCTTCGTAGCCTTCCTCACAATCGTAAAACACAACAGTGCTGATTGGAAGTGTTGGCGCTACTGAATGAACTTTGGCAAATGCAAAAGCTGGAGGATGGTGGCAGATAATAACTAGAAAAGAAAACAATACTAAATTCTAACTGAGTTACTGTACTACATCTCAGTTTATATGTACGAGAAATATATATCTTAAAAACCCTAATACAATTTTTGAATGTGTTGGTTCGAAGCCATATGCGTGGAACCATTAAGACAAGGAATTGAGAGAATCAACACCACATATAACAGGTTCCCACGTTGCATTAAAAAATAGATTCAAGCGATTTAACCCACCATCACAGTACACCTTAATAAACAACAGAAAAGTAACCGATGGAACGGAAGATGAAGAAAATGAACCTTACTAGGACATATGTTATCTGTAATGAGGCCCTTTACAATATTATCAAGACAGTACCTATCCAAAATATCTTTCAACAGCAGCAATAGAATTGGATGGCACACTGCAGAGGAAATAATGACATTTACAAGATCCAAACAATCCACATCACACCAAAGAAATGCGCAGGAAGACCGTCTTCTTTTATCCTTAAGAGGGCTATTAAAACAGCCCGGCTGAGAGAAAACAATAGACCTTTCCGAAGTGTCAATCAAACTTAACAACTGACTAATCAGAACAGCGCTAGGAATACGCGCGCGTCTTACAAACACACGTGTTGTCCCACAAACGCACGTGTTCGCGTATGTTTTAACACTGCCGTCTTGTGGGACCTTAGCAACAAAATCCAAGGGGCGGAGCTTAGCGGAAAGGTCCATTTATCAGGAATTGTTTTCATAGAATATTCTGAACTGACTGATCATGAAAACAAGTTTTAAATTTGAATTCAAGGCCTTTCTTCCTTTTTGTATATTATATGAATTATTATAAACTTGACAACTATAAGTAGCCTGTTATTACGTTAATTAAGTTAAATAATAAATTACACAATAAGTTAAGTAAATTAGCAGTGGTGTTGTAAACTGTTTATCAGTCAATGACAACCAGATTTTCCTACTTGGAATGGCAATTACCAAGTACCAAGTAGGCCTAAGTATGGTAAGCCCACACTATCACATTTTATGTAAAAAGTTTTGGTGAATTGATTTTAAAATCAGAGCATATAATTGCCCAAAGTGGTGCCATCGATTCCATGGTCAGTTGTTTTTGTTGATGGAACTTGGGCATTTACTAATTTGTTTCTATATTACTTTGCATTAGCTATCAGATAATTTCCCGTCGATTTATATTCACGCGGTACTGGGGAGGGACAACATGATTTCCTGCTCCACAACAAGAAATCCATTCGTAGAATCCTTCATGAAGAAAGCCTATCTAAAGTGGCCTAGATTGGCACGAGACCATCTAACTTCGGCCTTGAATATAAGAAGATTAAATTGTGATAAACTGAGTATACAATACACACGATGTTTACTAAGTTCGAGGCCTAGGTTTTAGTACCTTAGGACCTAGGCTAGACTAGGCAAAACAAAAGCAATATAATAATAAGAACAGGAAGAAGGAAGAATAGAATAGAAACGAACGAAACTTGAAACGGCTGAAATATCCCAAAATTCTACAATAATAATCAATGTGTCATTATTGTATTTCGTTTTTGTAAAAATATGTACACACTAATCATTAGAGGTGCGTGCAGCCTATACATTTCATAATTCGACATCGTTTTCGCAGTTCTTTTTCAGAATTTTACATTTTATAGGCATAGTACTAATTGTTAGGACTTGTCCAGCAAATATATTTTGATTTGAGTCATCTAAGGCTCTGTCTACACTTCAAATTTTATGTGACAACAAATATGATGTGCCCATATATGGGCACGATGACGTCAAATAACATAATTTCAAATTGTATCAAACAACGTTGAACGTGTTAAACTTTTTTTGATGTCGGTCAAAAAGTTGCTAAATTTGTTAGAAAACAATTTTGACCAATAGGGCCTAATTAAACACTACAAATCACACTAACCAATCGGATTTGATAATTCAGTTTTATAATACATCACATGATGATATTATTGCTCCATCACATTTCATGTGTCGCTTTTTAAAATTAAATTTGATAGTGTAGACAGAGCTTAACAGTTCTCAAAATATTGGATATTCAGTGAGCCCTGCCCTTCGATAGGCTCTCACAACAAGGCAGCCATAGCGTGCAGTTTTGTTTGTGGGACATCTACGTATTCTTCTGGCCCTGTTGAACAAAACCTTGATTAGTCAGTTGGTGTTGATTGGAATTTAGGAAAGGTCAATACAAAGATTAACTAAACTAAAAAAAAAATGAAAGAGCAAGACAATAATATATATATATATATATATATATATATATACAATTTATATGTTATAGAGGGAAGGGATGGAAAAAATATATTCTAATGAAAGCCAAGATTGAAATAAGATTCTTGATAGAATTGATAAACCTAAAAATTAACTTTATCAATCATTTTAATTATGTTTGGAGAGATGGAGCTTAGCTCAGTCGTCTAAGCTGGTGTGGGCATTGTGTGTGCGATGAAACGTGGAGATCTCTTGGACCTCCGCTTCAATTTGTACGATATGGTCAATGTGCACGTTAAAGATCGCAGTACACTCTTCGGAAAAGTGTAGGAGATTGTCTCCCGGTGTTCTACGCAATCACCACCAGAAGGATTCTACAGGAAATAAGTCTTCTTCAAACTTTCGTGGGTTATCCATGGCATTTACACCGAATAAATCCATCCATCCATCCAATTTGTATATAAGCATGATTATATGTAAAATTGTATATAAATACAAATTGTTTAACGACAATAAAGGTGGAAAACACCCACGAAATACAATTCCAAAACAGATGTAAATCAGTGTTTCGCACGCTTTACAGAATTGAAACTAAACAATTTCTAAATAGTCTGCCAGCCACTTTAAAGGTTTAGAGTACTATAAACTTGGTCTGTGTTTTGCGTGGCTGCTTTGTCGTACCAACCCATTACTTATTTAAAATAATTATTTATTTGTAATATTACTGGGGTTTTGTCTTGTTTCAAAAGCTTAAACTCATATGATACTACGTCAAAAAAGTTAAAGAGTTTTAAATTATTTAAACTTACTCTGACACTTCGGTAGTGCAGCATCCCATTCACATTCACCTGTACAAGTCAAGGTTTTGGTGCCAATCAGCTCGAAGCCGTCGTTGCATGTAAAATTTAATACATCCCCTAAGCCATACTCTTCCTTAGATGGCTGTACCACACCATTGCATATGTCACCAGGGTATAAACAAGACCCTAACATAATCCAATATATAATAAAACACCAGTTAGCGGGAAATATTCTAACATAATAAGGTGTACTTTAATGATAGGTAATTTTAAGTTTAGTCAGTGAAGCCGTTTACTTAAATCCACCACCAGCACAGTTGTTCTTCACACACCATCTAGTCGATTAACATATTATAGTGACAGTACAGAGCATTTCTGTTGTGCCGTTTATTAAATTCCTGCCTCTTGAAGTTCGCAATTCCCCTTTTTTAAATATTTTTAAAAAGCATCTCAAAACATCTTTTTTTCAGCTTTTATTTATGTTTCAATAACAGCGCATTCATACTTTGATTTATGCGCTATAGAAAATATTTATACATTACAAAAAAGCAGCAACAACAAAGGAACAACCAGAGCATTAAGCAATAGTATGTTGCCACAATGTCGGTACTTACTTCGACACGTCACGCCAGCCTCTTCGAATGTTCCTGTACAAGGGGATGGTCCAAGGCGTCTGTTGCAATCTCGTAATTTTGCTTCTGTTCCGGTGCATTTAATCGTACTCCAAACAAACGCGGTTGTTCCTGGAAAGAACCCTTTAAATGCATTTTTTGCGGAACAGAAGCCAGCTTCACGACAAGTGACCTTAGCGGCTTCCATGTTCCAACCATTGCCACAAATGGCGCCCCATCTACCACCATCTAAAATTTCAACTCGACCTCCTAGTTCATTCGCGGGCCCATCCACCAACCGCACCTCTGAAAGAAAACAGCACAAACAACATAGTTAACCATTATATTATGTCAGAGTCTAATGCGCAAATCATAGATAATTTGCAGAATACCTGAAGTGGCCTAATCACTTGTTCAATTTGATCGTAGGCACAGAAAGTGATGCCCAACGAAATTACATACCCAAATTTCAAAGCAAGATGAATATCCAAAACACAGATACATAAGATTAAGAATTTTATTGAACATCAATCAGTGTTAAACACACCAAACTGACCTCCTTATTCAACTTTTGGGTGGTCTGTGTTATTTTGGAAAAAAAAAATCTGTATAAATGGAATTTTGTGACAGCGTTTTAGTTGTGTGGGAGATAAAATTCGTTAAACTAGATCAGATTTTCAGAACCACAGGCTCAGATATTTTTCAGGGCTTTCGGCTCCTGGGCCAAGATTGGAGGTCCATGGGCGGTACCCTTGTCAAAGCAATCGATTGCTTTTGAGCAGATAATTATGTTCCAACGGTGGCATTAAAAGAAAACATAACAGACAATCATTCCAAACATCTAGAGTAGTAGAGGTGACATAAAATGTTGTACCTCAGCCCCAAATAAAGTGACTTGAAATAGTCTGGACCTCCGTCACTAAAATTATCTCCCTGGTCTATCTACATCTATTACTGTATCCGCTACTGATTAACACTACTTGTAGGCAATTCAGAATGTTTTCAACTATAACGTAAAATAATATGTAAATTACCTGCGCACACAACTTTTACGATCATATCTGTTTCACACGATCCACTGACATAAGAGCATTTCATAAGTGCAGTTTCTGTTCCAGTACACGAAACGTTGCGTATTGTCGTTGGATAGTTCTCCATTGGAACTGCAGAGAAACTTCTTGCAGTTGTGTTGAACAACTGACTGCAAACAACATGTGCTGCAGCCATGTTGAACCCGGTTGAACATACACCGCTCCATTCACCGTTTCTCAAAACATCCACTATTCCGGTCATGCTTTCAATATCGTCATTATTGCGAAGACGCGTGTCTAGAAAGCGTAAAGAAAGTTGAACATTATAAAACTTAAATACATACTGATGGTGATACTGTACGTTTACGTATAGATACTAATATTATAACGTGTCAATGTGTGTTTAAATTATATTATTGAACCGCCTACATAATAAGTATGGTAGAAACGGTACTCAAGCTACGAAGCAGCATTGTTTCAATATTACGTTACTCCATATAATACAGTTTTCAACGAAAAGTTCCTCTTCCAGTTGTATGTAAAAAGTGTCTCCGGCAGGAATTGAAACAGCAACTTTCTAACTACAGTATTCAAGTATCATACCATTAAACTACGGAAACCTATACAGTATAGGCTCAGATCTAACCCCTATGCATTTTTCTCTCATCCAACTGACTCTGAAACACTTACACTGCTCACACATTGTGAAGCTATGCATGGTTAAGCTAGAAACTAGAGAGTACTATTAATAACTGACAAATAGCCTACCTGTACACATTGCTCCTGCATCCTCATTGTGATTACAATTATGTGTTGTCCAGCCCAAGTGGGCACAATCATGAAGAGTTGCTTCTGAGCCGCTGCATTGGACACCATCCAGCAAAATAGATCCCACGCCAGGCCCATATGCTGCGCAGCATCTGGCGGCTTTCGACGTTTTCGGCAAAAACCCGCCTAGTTGTTTACAAACAACCGCTACATCGTCGTAATCCCAGCCATCGTCACACACGGTGCCCCACTGACCACTGTGAAATATTTCCACACGCCCTTCTAGTTTGCTAGGTCCACCAACCAGACGAACTGGAAGGCCTAAGTACAATAGTAGCAATACAATAATAAATATATAGAAAGCGAAAACACATAAAATAATGTAAAATACTTTAATAATTCTGTTACTAGAGATTGGTAACACAATTATTGTAAGATTTGGGGGGGGGGGGAAAGATTGTTTAAACATCTAAAATCATATAAATCATGTTAAAATAAGAGATAAACATTAAACCGTTTTGTGGTAATAGGCCTATTATAAGTTTAGACCTAGACTTATATGAATTTGCTTTACGTTTAAGAGGAATATGTGAGAGTTAGAAAGTTACCCCAACCGGGAGAAACGAACAGCGGAACTGTGAATTCAAATTTTATTGGAAGCTGGTTTCATACTATTTTGCATAAGCGTGGAATAGTGCTATTTATCGATGTACTGTGAGAAACCTAGATCAATATGATACACCCTTGTCTTAAGTAATTATAATCGAAAAGACGGGATCTCCAAAGATACATTTTTAAATATATCGAAAAGTCGAAACCGGAGCTTTGAGCTCATAAGCCGGAATGCCATTATCCTTTCTTGGCGTAGAGCTAGAATTTTCAATGCTGTGAGGAGTCCGCCGTTTCTCCCGTACAACAAATCTGTTACATGTATACATTGCGCCTTGCAAGGACACAAGTGACATGGAACACTAGAGCAACAACCAGCTTTTCTAAAAAAGTGAATTATATAAAAATTATTATAATTGCTTTCAAAGTAAATCTAAAGTAGTGTAGCGTAAATGCTCGAATAAGCGCCGCGGCGTTTATATTTGGAGGCTTCAGTGCGGCACTTATAAAAAAAAAAATGCCGTGGCGCTTTCCATGCCCGTTTCCATGCTACCTGTCTCAGGTATTTCCGTAATACGGTAGGCCTATCATAGGTCCAACATCATCGTAAATAAACGTTTATAGAGAAATGGGTCTACTTTGTGTCTTCATTGTGTTATTTATTCATTTTAATACTGTATACATTGTATTTAAATCCCTGTTTCTCAAAATATTACATTACTCACGGGGTAATATTACTCTCAAGAGTGGCGCTTAGCGAAAAAAAAATCATGTTTGTGCGGCACTTATTGAGACCGGGGCTTATTCGAGCATTTACGGTATTAATTTACCTCGTTCGCATTCTAGCAAAGCATCGTCGGCATGTCCACACGTTGTAACACCCCACTCATCATGATTGCACTCATCCAGTGTTCCTTCGGTGCCGTTGCAATCCATATTAGTGACGTGAATTGGCCCAGTCGATTTACCGGTAATCTCAGATAGTGAAGGCATGCGCTTGTAGTTGTAGCCACCAAGCATGCTACAGATGACGCGACCATCGAACTTGTCAAAACCTTCGTTGCAGATCGTTCCCCATTCCAAGTCATGGAATATCTCGACGCGTCCGATCAACTCAGATGGCCCTCCAGTAAGTCGAACTGGTCCTAAAGTACACAGATGATTATTTAATATTATTTATGAAGACTTTTAAATACATTTTAAAGTGGTTTTTCAAAACGATAGTTCGTAATGACGTCATCAACGCCACTGGTTTAATAAAATCGAGAGTTCGTAAATGGGAGGTTCGTAATTTGGAGATGTTCTACTCAAAAATTAAAAAAATGATAATGCATTTAAAACAAGATTTGCTTAATAATTTTGCCTTATATTGAAGCCGCGTCATTACAAACATCAATCATTTGCTAGTTAAGTTGGTTTAGTTTACTTACTTTTTGGTGTCTTTTACTGAACCGTATGTCAGAGCTCTGTAGTAGAGTTCTTGTATTAGAACGACCCTCTAGACTGGGGCACGGGACGTTGCCTCCGAGAGCCCATATAGGCGTTACGTCACTATGATAATATAATATCGAAAGGGCGAAGCATAGAGGAAATGTCCATTTTCAATATTATATCTTTTACTTGTTTAAAGTATTATTTATTGTATTGTTTTTAGTAGACTATAATATTATAAGTTGTAAACATTAATTACGCTTGCATATGACGCCGATATCTTCATCGTGACGGCAGTTGTGCTTGCCCCAGCCGTTGTGACGGCACTGTTCCAGTGAATCCTCGGTTCCTAGGCACGCCAGGTCATCAATGACGATGACACCGCTGCCTGGACCAAACTTTTTGCAGCATTGAGATTCTGTTCCTTCGTACCCTAACATCCTGCATACAACCTTAGCATCACTAGGACCAAAACTATCGTCACAAACTGTGCCCCATGCTCCATTATGAAACACTTCAACACGCCCTTCTAATTCAGTGTTCCCATCTGCAAGACGCACAACTAATGCCTCGTTTCCTACAATGAAACAAATTGGAACAACAGCAAAAGTAAATCGTTAAGTGATATGATAGAAAGTAAAATTCGCAAGCTTTTATTTTCACGAGGAAGATTCATCACAATTATTATTATTTAAAATAACATCATCACATCAACACCACTATCATCAGCATCGCCGTCATTATCATCAGTAGAGAGTATACCTCTGCCTACCGCCAACCTCTTTCTATAAAATAATTCCTACTTTCCAACCACCAACCACAACTTTAAACAAAAGTACACTATCACGAAAGTTTAATTTAGATGAGTTGATTAGATTTTGAGATATCTGATCTGTGATGTTTTGCTTTGAATGGTCCATATATCGACGCCAAAATAGAATCATTTCATTTAATTACTTCATTTTTCGAACGCCTTTTATTTTATCAGCTGTAGGCCTACACTTGCCAATTCCTAACATCCTCTGGCTTAATATACTGGCACGTTTTACTCTTATACCTGACAAACGAAATGCAAGAAATGTATTGGTGTTGGAATGAAAATATTATGAAAATAGAAATATGGGAATTTGGTTTTTAGCGTCACATGTTCAAATGTAAAGATGCACTTATTCTTTAAATGGTCCTTATATACACCAAAATTGTAACAATTCTTTATTAAAACATGACAAACTATTCTGCGAAATGTCATTTTTATCCATTGATCCATTTTAGAGATATTTAGGTCTGGGACCCTTTGGCCCTCAAATGCACACCCGAATTTGGATCCTCACCAACACTTCATAATTTCTTTCTTGTACCTTGGTTAAGCTTTAACGAAAGTTTCATTCATATCAGTTGATTAGTTTTTGAAATATCTGGTCTGGGACGATTTCCTTTAAATGGTCCTCATATCCACACCCTATTCCGGATGGTCACCAAAATTTAAAAATTTCTTCATTAAAACATGACAAAACTATTCTGGGTAGTGTCATTTAGAGCCACTGATTATTTTTAAAGATATTTAGGTCTTTGGACCTTAGGATTTTAAATGACGCTCAAATGCACACCTGAATTTGGATCGTCATCAACACTTAATAATTTCTTCCCTGTAACTTGCTTAAACTTTCGCGAATGTTTCAATCAAATAGGTTGATTCTTTTTTAAATATCTGGACTGGGATGTTTTCCTTTAAATGTTTCTTATATATCCACACCCTACTCCGGGTCGTCACAAAAAATTAATAACCTTATTCTTGAGTCATACCAACAATCCCTGTAATTTGCATTTAAGATCTGTGCAGCTGTTTTGGAGACATTTTGAACACAAGAAACACGCACGACCATAGAAATTTTAATGACCATCAAGCTCACCCCAGAATTTGGATCGTGACCAACACTTCATAAGTTCTTCCATGTAACTTGGTTAAACTTTCACCAAATTTCATTCGTATCAGTTGATTAGTTTTTGAAATATCTTGTCTAGGACGTTTGTTCTAAAATCTTTTTAACTGGTCCTCACATCCACACCCTATTGTGGAAATGTAATCATTTCTTCATTGTGTTATACCTATCACTCCTTTTAATTTTCAATTATGTCTGTACAGCCGTTTTTGAGGCATGTCGTACACAAAATGATCACACGAAAACACCAAAGCGTGACACACACACACACACACACACACACACACACACACAAACTTACACGACTCAAAATATATACCTCCTGGCGGACATAACAATAATAATCAGAGATAATATGTCTGCTTGTAAAAACAGAAAATACGGCTTTTCCTTATTGCCATAATGAGAAGTGATGTCAAACAATTGCTGTGAGACCAAGATTCCATGAGTGAGGCAATATTTGGTACCGGTAATTGGTCCGAAGAAACGTCCTTAGAAGAACACAATACGGCTTTTCCAAATTGCCATAATGAGAAGTGATGTTTTTTTAAATTATTATTATTATTATTATTATTATTATTATTATTATTATTATTATTATTATTATTATTATAAATATTATTATAAATATTATTATTATTATTATTTTATTTTTTTATATTTTTATTTTTTTGACTGAAAATAGAATATAGAATTTGGGTCTTTGATCTTAGTCCGAAATGGGAGACCTTATGAGGGAAAATAAAATAAACATAAAAACCAACTCGAGATCCGAATTATGGCTGCAGTGGTAATAGCGAGGGTGATGTCGAGAGTTCTTACCACTACGCCTGAGAACACGACCCTGCAGAGGGGGTCAGTGTATTTTGGCTACCTTCGGTAATGATATAAGTTTACGTTGAAAAATGTTCATGCATTACAGGGTAACTTTGTGTTTGACCTTAGCCGCAACTAGTGTGAAACGCTTTGGAAAACGCAAATTTCGTTAAATTCGAAAAAAAATCAGAACAAAAACAATGAATTTTCTGCTTAATGCAAGAAGAGCCAAAAATCAGAATAAAAACAATTACTTTCCATGCTAAAGCGGAAAAGACAATAATAATATTATTATCATAATGATTATACCATTATCATTATCATTACCATTGTTTAAATACCACCACAATTATAAACCTACCGCAATATTCTCCAGGAAGACCAATATCGCAAAGTTCAAACCTAGAAGTTGGATCCGTTGTATAACACCAGGCTGTTATTTCTCCATCGGGGTTACGGCAGAAGTTGTGATCACCCAAACCTGAATCTGGATAATTTTCTGACGTACGTGTATGACGATGAGGTAACTGTGACGTCCATTTTTGACACGTCTTACCTAAAGCTGTGGTACTTTTAGAGCCTCGATAGTCGGAAGCATCTAACATGTTATAGCATTCTATGGAAAAGAGTTAAAAAAAAACAAAAAAAACGAATTTCTTTAAATTCTAAATAGAATGCGACCAAAACTTCATAGCACTGTATATGTATTTTTATCAAATTTTTCTTCTGGTATTGATTTATTCGGTGTGTAACAATTGATAACGTAACCGTATTGGTTATCGTTTCGTAGGCTTGCGAAAACTCCATATTGCTGTGAATAACTTAACGGATGCACTAAGCGAGAAAAAATGATTTAAATATACTGCATGCGAAGTTGTTTAGTTAGCATTTGTTATATCGTAAAGTACGTCACACTTGTATAGCTCACGTTCGCTCCTACCTCCACATCCTAGGAGCTCAAATCGGAGGGCAATCTGTAAATTCCATAATGCTGGAACGATCATGATGAATCTTGCTGTAACAGCTTCTTCAAAGTAGTTTGTAACAATCGTATTATCATCTGTATTTGCTATGAAATTCTGTAAAAAAAGTGTACTTCATGTCAAAGCCGATTAGAAGCAACTACTACTTCACAATCTTTAGCACATGAGTAGTCAAACAGTGCCGTTTCCCTTTTGTTATCTACAATAGTAGAGATCACTGACATGCCCTTATCTAAATTATTCTAAACCACGAGATGGCATCTCTGGAAAAGAATCATACTACAATAAACAGATCGAAGCCTAAACTTAAAAATCGACTTTGCGGTATGCTATTGAAGATAAGGAATTGGTGAGTATGCAAAAAAGGCTATAAATAATTATGTAGTCAAAATTATAAAAATAGATTTGTATTGATATCAGGAATACATAAAATATAAATAAACGGAAATGTCAGTACGTGGGCACATAATCTGAGCAAATAATATTCAAAGAAATATCTTGGAAGGAAATGTCAGAGGGAGGAGACCACGAGAAAGGCCTAGGTGGACATGGAATAGGGAAGTTTGCCAGTGCTCCAACCTAGGACATGTAGATGTGACAATAACTGCACAGGACAAACATCGATGGATATACGTGGTAGGCCAAGTCATGGTTGGACAAGCCACCACATAAAAATAAAAAAAAATCAATAAAACAGAATAGTTCCCAAGACCAAAATAAATCAGTATTCAGAGGCACTCTTATATATGATAAATATATAGATGGATTAAATTTATACAATCTAGTGGTATACCATAATATTTTCTGATCTTGATCGCCAAATATTAGTCCACAAAATGCCGTCATTGCTGTACTTCACCGTATACTGTGTGACATATTCACCGGTTCTGTTTCTACCTTGAGTCATCACTCCAGTCACTAGATGAGGAACTCGCAAATCGACTTTAATCCACTGCGAGTTAGTAAAACTCTGTGGGATCCACGCAACACCTCTTGTTGATCCTGTATCTAAATTCAGCCGGGCTTTAGAGGGCGCGAATTGTAGTGATAGATATCCCGAGGCACTAATTCGTAAATCGCCGATGTTTCCGTTTTCCATTCCAAGAGGCTCTCTGCAATCTAAAAATTTTCATTAAGAATATATATTTATATATATTTTATTGTTTCTAAACACACTTTCTCTATACATACATACATACATATATAT